ATAATAGTAATAATAATAATAGTACTAATAATAAAAACAACAATTAAAAAATAGTAAGAAAAACAACATAATACTACTGCAACAGCAATAACAACAACAACAACAACAATAGAAATATAAAAAGCAACAACAAATGCAACAACATAATTATTAACGACAGTTACAAAGACAAAATGCATCATTATCATTATCATCATGGTCTTCATCCCCATTGCCATCTTAATCCATTGAACATACACATTTTTCTTTTAGTAGTAATAGTATAGGGTTTTACGGCGCTGGCAACTGCGACATTTTTCTTTGAGCAAAACGGCCCCCTCCCCCCCTCCTACCCTTTCTCGACCCCTTGCCCTCCCTCTCTCTAGCCCACTGACTTGTTCCTAACATTCGGGTCCCCAGAGTGCCAACTGAGGCCAGCAGAAGTGGTGTTTGTGTTGGACGAGTCAAGCAGTATCTTCATTCCTGACTTTCAGAGACAACTGACATTTGTATCAAGCCTCATCAACTTGTTTAACATTGGCAGAGACAAGACCAGAGTCGCTGTCGTCTCCTTCAGGTAGTCCACACTCACCTTCATTTCTTTCTATCCCATATCTACCGGGCAGGGGGAGTACTTTCCAGCAGTGATAGTTGCTATAACAATGCTATCTATTACCTGTTATTATTACTCTTTTATGAGTGCAGCAATTTTTTGGATGACTGGTAAAATCCTGTGTCTTGATCGATCTCAGTCCCAGTAGCGTAAAGCCGTGGTAGCGAAGTTTTGGAGAGAAAGAACCCAACAGAGTCAGTTAAACATAGGCAGTCAGGGAAGCAAAGAAATCAATACAGTCATATCCTGACATTGACTGTTGTCAGTTAGACCACTACTGTTACTGTACTGTTTGTGGAAAGTTCTTCTAAAAAAGAATAGCCATTGAGAGTCGCAGGCACAGCCATAAGAAGGTTTCACCAACTATATATTTAGGCGGATAATCACATTCACACTGCCCTAAGAAAGGGAAAGGCGCTGCTATCTGCGGTGAGTTGTTGCCTTTGAGATCGTTACAAGCTGTATGCTACACTTTCCTATAACATTTCTCTCTTGACCTTGTGTGTTACAATTTTCTTTACTTTTCTCCATTGACCAAGCTGACTACACGGTTTACCAAGCGAGTTATCTGCAGTAGTCAGCAAGGTCTATAGCTTCACTTCCTCCTTGGATGTTAAAAGTAAAAGTCATCATCAGTTCATGGTAAACGAACTGTTATTATGATTGTCATTACGATGTGACACGTTTTTACCCTGAAGTAACAAAACAGGCAGTAGCTGAACAAGAGCAAACTCAGACATTCTTCTCACAAGTATAAGGAATGGTTATGGTAGTGGTGATTTTGGGTGGGGGCGGTGACAATGTTGCTTGGTCGTGATTGTGATGGCCAAGATCACTAATCGCGCGACTCCCGAGACATAGTGAAGTAATGTAGATTATCCTTGATTCCGACTAAGAAAAGGCGTCAATAAGTGATTTGCGAAGAAACAAGCAACGGACAGGAACGTGAAAAAGTAAACCGACATACATTAATAATGACGATGATGACAATGATACTACTACTACTACTACTACTACTACTACTACTACTACTACTACTACTACTACTACTACTACTACTACTACTACTACTACTACTACTACTACTA